GCCCCCGATCAGCCCTGCTCCCCAGAACCCCTCCCAGCTGGTTCCTCCCCTCCCACCATTCTGAGATCTTGTATGTCTGATATTATTTTGAAAGCCATCTGGTAACCCTACCCTCAGCATGTGCGGTAGGTATCATTGTGGCTCCCAGGACTTCCAAAGTTGAGTCACCTTGGTGTAACACTTAGCTGTGGCACCCAGGAGTGGGGACTGGGAGTCTCTGTGTTCTGCTGCCAAAGATGGCTTTCAAAAAAATATCGGACACACATGATCTCTGTAGTGTAGGCAAGGGCTTAGCTTCTGAAACTTTTGGGTACCATTGGCTCACATTTTGTACCTTTTCTCTGCAACATGAGAGCTAGAAAGATGCAAGCTGAGAGTCTCAACGTGATGGACCCCCTGATGCTTTATGAAATGGACTTATGGGTACAAATGTACATAACTCCAAAGTGCTTTGAGCAAATTACTTCATGTAACCTATCAATCTTCATATCTTAATCTGCTAGATCTGTTCATCTTATTTTGGTATGTGTGTCATTCTTGTGTATAAAATTAGACATATGGACTGGGGAATGCTTTATGGTTTTAAATGTGTGAATGAATAGCATTAAAGATGCAATGTCTTGATGACCAACTTGATGACCAACACTTTCTTTTGTCCTTTAAGTCTTAGCAGTGGTTGGTCTGGGAAAGTCACATGCTCACCCCAACTGGCCAGGTGAATTCCCAGGAGGGAATCTTTAAAAACAATAGGAAGGTAGTAGTCTGGGTCTTTGGGCTGGTTGGGCAGATGTGAAGAGGGTGAACTAAAGGCTCCAAGGTGAGGGACAGCCCTGGTTTGGAAGGCTGTGCTGGAAATGAGACAGTTTTAGGGTGAGTTTATAGTTTGTTCTGAGGATTTTAGTTAGTGTCAGAATTAGCTTAGCAGTTTTTGTTACGTTTGATTTGTAATCTACTTTGCTCTGCCTGTTCTCACTTACTACCACTTAAATCAGGGCTACTCAACTTTGGAAGCCCCGAGCGTCACAATGATAGTCACAGCACATGCAGTGGGCCACAGCTTAAGTGTGGTTGCATATACATGTAAATATATATGCAAGTATATGCAAATAACTTCTTTCACGCTTATTGGCATGAAAACAAAGATTTAAGTTGTGGCGCTAGACCCAAACATGGCCAGTGTGAGCCAGTCAGCACTTTTTAGATTCTGCCCACAAGGCTAAGTAGCCAGCACTTCCCACAATGCTCCAGCTCCTGACACCTCCTCTCTGGGGACTAGAAACACTGACACTCTGTACCCATCTGGTCCAGCCAGCCTGTCCACTTGTGTCTTTCAGTGCTCACCCCGCATGGAAGATGCCTCGTCATTGTGGAGTGTGTTCCCAATAGAGGCCACGTTCAAAGGATCCCACCTGCAGACCGCGTGTTGAGCCACATAAACCCAAATCAGACCACAGGCCACAAATAAATGGGCCATGAGCCACATGTGACCCACAAGCCATGTGCTGAGTAGCCCTGACTTAAATCCTACTGCTTGTTGTTAATAAAAACACTTTATTTTCTATCAAGCCCAATGAAAATAATTTTTACCTGGCAGGGAGGGGCAACCAGTGTGTATATTTCCCCTTTCATTGCTAAAGGGAGCTTACCCAAGTAATTCACTGGTGGGTTTTGATCCCATTTGGGGAGTGGTATCTCAGGAAGCTGGGGCCTAAACTGGCCTTTCCTTGGACCAGAAGAGATTCAGTATCTTTACTGCTTCCCGGGGGCAGAGGAAGGCACTGATCTCAGCAAGGTATCTTGGCTGAGGGAGACCAGGAAGCTGGCCCTGCAGGATAGGGTGGTGAGGAGGCCCAGAGAGTGGGAAAGCAAATGGCAGTGGCCCTGTCAGCACTCCTGGAAGCCCCTCCCCCAGGGTCTTCTGTGAGCTCACCCCCTCACTCTGTGCTAGATTGTGACAAAAAATAACTAGGAGCTGAAAGTCTTAAAAAAATAAATATTGCAAGATGAGATGAAACTGATTTGGCAATGTG